AATCATCAGAGAGATGTAAATAAAAACTATAATAATATATCACCTCACCCCTGCCAAAATGGCTAACATCAATAAATTAACAAGCCACAAGTGTTGGTGAGGATGTGGAGAAAAGGGAGCCCTAATACACTGCTGGTGGGAATGCAGACTGGTGCAGCCATTGTGGAAACAGTATGGAGTTTGTAAAAATATTAAATATGAAACTGCCTTTTGACCTAGTGATCCCACTCCTAGGAATATATCCTAAGAAACCCGAAACATCAATAAAAAAATATGTGCACCCCTATGTTCATAACAGCACAATTTACAATAGCTAAGATCTGGAAATAGCCCAAGTGCCCATCAGTAGATGAGCGGATAAAAAAGCTGTGGGACATTTGTACCATTGAATATTATGCAGTAGTAAAAACGAAGAATCTCTTACCCTTTGAGACAGCATGGATGCAACTGGAGAGCATTATACTAAGTGAAATAAGCCAGTCAGAGAAAGACAAGTATCACATGATCTCACTCATATGTGGAATCTAATTAACAAAATAAACTGATGAACAAAATAGGTCCAGAGACATAAAGCATGGAACAGGTTGTGGAACCTCAGAGGGAAGGTGGATAGGTGGGAAGAGATCAACCAAAGAACTTGCATGCATATATGCATAACTGTTGGACACAGACAATAGGGGAGTGAAAGCCTGAGGTAAGGGTGGAGGGGGGGGGGCGCTAGAAGCGGTTAATAGGGGCAAAAGGGGGACATATATAATACTTTCAACAATAAAGAATTAATTAAAAATAAATAAATGGTAAAAACAAAGTTAAAAACATGATTACAGAAAAATATATAGTGAGTGTGTGTCAAGGACTTAATTCATTAATCAGGAAATCAACCAAGTGGTAAAACTGGTTCAAAAGAGGACAGGAAAAACTGCTAAATTAAGTCAATGGAAAAAAAGAAAATGCTGGAATGAGATTGCCAAGTTCAGTGTATACTGGCTAATGTCTTACAGGAAACTAAAAAACCTTAACTTTTGTGTGTTTTTTTATTGCATTTTTCTTCTTTGCTGGCTAAAAATCACTAGTAACCTTTTACAAATTAGCATTTAACTTTCAAAAAGCTGGCATCTAATAAATAGAAAGTAATAAGTCAAAGAAAGTTACTTTCCCCTCAGGCCTGCATGTTAGCTAATGCTTTGATCTGACACAAAAGGCTGTAGTTGTCTTGTTCTGGATAATTTTTCTTAATTCAGAAAGGAGATCTAGAAATAAATCATCGCTGTAAAATAGATTATGATAAAAATCATTAACATGTATGGAATGCTGAACACTGTTCTGAGTGTTTTCATGTCTAGCTTTTAGTCACTGTCACAATGCTAGGAGGCAGGCCTGTTACTGCCCTCATTTATAGAGGAGGAAGTTGAGGCAGTCTGGCTCCAAAGCCTGTTCTTAGCTCCTTCCCATGGATAAAATGGCTATGGGTCCAATAGGGTACCTGTGGGCTGTGTGTGTGTGTGAATTTGATTGAACTAGAAATATAGGCCAATGGTGGAATTAGATGCAGTCCAATTTTTCATTTCTAATCTAAAATTTGAATTAGGCAACAAGATGTAAGATGACAATAGTCTATTAGGTGGGCTGCCTGGAAACCCTGAGATGGTTTGTGTAGAATGTTAAGTATATTTTGCCAGCTGGGACCACTGCTCCTGGTAATCACACTATCACATCCAATCCTACAGCAGAAGCAGTTATGTTGGCATGTCTAGTAGAGAGACAAGGGGAGCGAGTCCTGTATGTTAGAATTCAAGGGGATGGATGTGTCCATGTTCTCATGAAAAACCAGAATTTCATTAGAATATGGCATCATCTAGCCCTAGCTGGTTTGGCTCAATGGATAGAGGGTCACCCTGCGGCCCAAACGGTCCTGGGTTCGATTTCAGTCAAGGGCACATGCCTGGGTTGCGGGCTTGGTCCCCAGCATGGGGCGTGCAGGAGGAAGCCAATCAATGATTCTCCTTCATCATTGATATTTCTATCTCTCTCTCCCTCTCCCTTCCTCTCTGAAATCAATAAAAATATATATATTTTTAAAAAAGAATCTGGCATCATCTAAGAGTCTACATGCTTAATTAGAGGGCTCTGTGACTTGCTTTGGTATCTGGAACCCACTTTAGTGAAAGGCCCAGAAGAGTAGTTCTTTCCTAATTAGATACATCCATAATCTAATTCTCTAAAAACACACTAGTAAAGAATGGAAGGAATGCTGCAGCTGTAACACCCAGCACCCTGTCCCGCTTTTCTGCCTCTTGTAGCTGGCACATGTTTGAAGTCGTAGTTAGGACTTGATGAGCCCATTTGTCTTCTCTAGCCTCCTTTGTTTTGTCAAAATTAGCTGCA